AGAAACGTAGATGAGAGAGAAACATTGACCAGCTGCCTCTTGCACACCCCCTACTGGGGATGTGCCCGCAACCAAGGTACATGCCCTTGACCGGAATCGAACCTGAAACCTTTCAGTCCGCAGACCAACACTCTACCACTGAGCCAAACCAGCTTTGGCGGTTTTTAGCATTTTGATAACTAGATATTTTGGTATTGTTTTCTTTATTATAATTATCCAAATGTTTGGTGTTCATTGAGCTTCTTAAATCTGTGGGCTTTGTCGTTTTTATATTTGGATATGTTCTGACCATGAATCTTCAAATATTTTTATTCTTTCCTCAGTTCTTTTTTTTTTTTTTTTTTTTAAGAGTAATTATACAAACTTCATTTTTTCATCTCGTTGTCTTTAAGTTTTCCTCTTCTAAAACATATGAAACATATGAATTTATGGAACATTTATCATTGCTTTTTTAACATCCTTATTTGCTACTTTATCCATCACCTTTGTATTGTCAGGGTCTATTTTCAGTGGTTGATTTTTCTCTTGCTTCTTTGCATGCCTAGTAATTTGTGATTGGTTGCCCTACATTGTGGCTCCACATTTTTGGGTGCTAAGTTTTGTTAATTCAAAATTTTTTAGATTCTATTCTAAGCTACAGTTAAGTTATTTGGGTTCCATTTGATCTTTTAAGACTTGTTGTTCTCGCCAAAACCGGCTTGGCTCAGTGGTAGAGCGTCGGTCTGCGGACTGAAAGGTCCCAGGTTCGATTCCAGTCAAGGGCATGTACCTTGGTTGTGGGCACATCCCTGGTGGGGGGGTGCAGGAGGCAGTTGGTCGATGTTTCTCTCTCATCAATGTTTCTAGCTCTCTGTCCCTCTCCCTTCCTCACTATAAAACATCAATAAAATAATATTTAAAAACAAAAACAAAAAAACTTGTTGTTCTCAAGTGTCATGAATGCTGGATCAGAACAGCCTTGAGTCTGGGGCTAATTGATCCCATTGCTGAGGTAGCACTTCTCTGAGGATTCTACCCAATTCCTTGAGTGTTTTGAGGTCTTTGCACTAATCCACCTCTGTGTGCGATCTGGGGATTCTGTGGTTCTTTGCCCAGTTCTAATTAGTTTCCTCTCATGTTTGTACAGATCGATCCTTGGCCAAGAATTTGAGGGGATCCATCTTCAGAGCTTTCTCATCACTCTCTCCTCTAGTATTCTGCCCCACACATTCTAGCTGTCTGCTTCCCCTAACCCTCCTCTATCACTTTCTCACTCTCAACTCCAACAGCCTTACAAGTTCTACATGGGTTCTTCCTAAAGAAAATAGAAAAGAAGAAGAAAGTGAACTTAGATTAATTTAGTTGAGGGATAGAGATTGCTGCATTGGAATGCTGCTTTGACATGAGGGCTAGTGCTTTGGGAGACCAAATATCAGCCATCTGGGCATGTTCTGGTGGCACAGTGCAAAGAATACCTGTTTCCATTCATTTAAGAAAAGGTTAACTGCTCTTCAGATTCTAATCACCAGATTCTAATCTGACAACTGGATATTCTCAGAAAATATAGAGGATTGATTTTGACTTTGTAATATTATTTCTCTCAGTTCCTGTGACCTAAAGTATACAGAAGGAGTACAGTCCCTCAACTGGACTAAAATCATGAAGACTATTGTTGATGACCCTGAGGGCTTCTTCGAACAAGGTGGCTGGTCCTTCCTGGAGCCTGAGGGTGAGGTGCGTGAGTGTGGGGTTTCTTTTCTGCTATGTAATAGTTGCCCGTTATTTGAACAGCTAGAAAAGACCAGACCAAGTGGGAAAATCTCTGAACACATCTGATATTATTTCTCCAAATTAGTTTTACAGGAAAACAATAAATTAACTAGGTATTTGCAGCCACTGATAAGATTTGAAATGTTGTTTTCTAAAAAATGGTCCTCCCAACTCAGCATAATGCTTTATTACCAAGAATATTTCTGCAATTAATATTTCTGAGCAAGAAAGGATGAAGTGAAACTTTAATAAATATGAATTATATATTTAGGATATCCATTAAGACAGTAAATAGTGTTTTTGTTTTTTTCTCTAATTCATCAGGGTAGTGATGCTGAGGAAGGGGATTCAGAGTCTGAAATCGAAGATGAGACTTTTAATCCTTCAGAGGATGACTATGAAGAAGAAGAAGAGGACAGTGATGAAGATTATTCATCAGAAGCTGAAGAATCAGGTCAGTCTTTACAAGGAAAAGTTTCTGTGGCTTTCTAATCTAATGCCATTTCTGGAAACTACTTTGCAAAAGGGAAGAGTTTTATCATTCCTTTCCAGTATAATGACTAATGCTTCCTAATCATTTTTTTTTTTTCTTAAGACTATTCCAAGGAATCATTGGGCAGTGAAGAAGAGAGTGGAAAAGACTGGGATGAACTAGAGGAAGAAGCCCGAAAAGGTAAATTTTTTTGTTTTATTTTTTTGAGGCACAAATTTCTTAACAGATTTCAGTCCTTAACTAGTGGAGAAAACAGGGTCTGTAATTTGTATTCTCCAAGAATCATGGCTGCCTAATTGATACTTTTTTCATCTGTCAAGTCCTCAATAGACCCATAGTCATGATAGCCAAATAGTCTTATATGGCTCCAGAATTAGGTCATTCAGTTTCCAAATCTAAGTTCTATAATAGTCTAAATTTTAGACTTCTCCCAGGTTAGGAATATTTTCATAGTGCCAGTTTAATTACTCTGAAACCAAATGCCAAATATAAGTTAAAGATAAAAGGAAATGCCCTGGCTGGGTCGCTCAGAGAGCATCCTCCTGATACACCACAGTTGTGGGTTCAATCCCTGGCCAGGCACATACAAGAAGCAACCAATGACTGCATAAATATGTACAACAACAAATTGATGTTTCTCTCTTTATCTCTCTCCTTCCCTTCCTCTCTTTATAAAATAAATAAATAAAACTTAAGCCAAAACCAGTTTGGCTCAGTGGATAGAGCGTCAGTCTGCAGACTGAAAGGTCCCAGGTTCGATTCTGATCAAGGGCATGTACATTGGTTGCCGGCACATCCCCGGTAGGGGGTGTGCAGGAGGCAGCTGGTCGATGTTTCTCTCTCATCAATGTTTCTACCTTTCTATCCCTCTCCCTTCCTTTCTGTAAAAATCAATAAAATATAATTTAAAAAAATATATATAAATAAATAAATAATAAAACTTAAAAAGAAAAAATAGGTGAAAGGAAATATCCACTGTATCCTAAGTATTGTGATAGAACTTTGTATAAATTACCGTATTTAATCCTTCTTTGTTTATAATTTTCTATTTTATATATAAACCAAGACTCAAAAATATTAAGTGCTTGGTCAAGATCACACAACTGGTAAGTGACTGAGTCCAGATTAAAAGGTTTAACTCCAAACTATATTCTCAGTACTATTCATGCTGTCCAGTAGTATCAGGTACCTAATGCCAACCTATATCTAATTAGTAATATCTCTTCTGTTTAGCGGACCGTGAAAGCCGTTATGAGGAGGAAGAAGAACAGAGTCGAAGTATGAGCCGGAAAAGGAAGGCATCTGTGCACAGCTCAGGCCGTGGCTCTAACCGTGGTTCCAGACACAGCTCTGCGCCCCCCAAGAAAAAGAGGAAGTAATTTCTGAACTTTGGCCCTCAGCTCCATTCTTGCTCCAGCCAACCCCTGAAAATTTTACATGACAGAAACTGTATTTTTCCTTTTTTCTTTTGAAGTTTTGCCATTTGTGTTTATGGGTTTAGGGGGCCATTTGTGTGGACCAATCTACTCGGGGAATTCCAGGCCCACCAGGACACGTGCCAATGGCCCCATCCAGATGGCAAGGCAGGAGGTGTTCTTGAAGAAGGGCAGAGGCTTCCACTGTTAATACCATTTCATTCCTCTCTTCCTGTCACCTTCTGCCAGGACGTCAGTGGCTTCTGACATCTTAATCTTTGATGTCTCAAAGTATATTTCCAAGATGTTAGTACGAGGTGAATAACTACTTGCACCATGGTTCTTGACCAGCAGATTCGATCCACCATTCTACCCTACAACATGACCTTCCTCACATCTCTTTAAGTTGCATCTTTGCAGTACTCAAGAACAGACAGGTTCTTGGAATTTGCTAATGTTTATAATAAACCATACAACTTGAGCTAGTAAGGCAGATCAGGCTGGTACCTCCGTCTGAGTTTTCCTGCTTTCTTGCCTCATGCAAGACCTGGGGTATCTGCTGCCTTGGAAGACATAAGCAGCAGCGACGCTCCGAGGCTTGGTTTCATCCTCCTTTCATATTCACACACGGATATTGGTAGGAACGAAATTACCACTGTTTGTTTTCTGAGATACCTGAGTAAGAACAGCCGTGCCTCATATACTGCTTCTAGTAAAATCTAGGAGGAGGCTCGCTATTAAAGGAATCAACGTTTAGATCTGGAAGGGGAAATAGTCATGCCTTGGGCCTAGGATATCCTGATGAGAAGAGAAAAGAAGAATGGAGGCCACTTCTACACCATGGCCTTCGTCACTGCTGCTCCTTATCTTTACTTGTCCTGCATTGTTTGTATTTATCAGTTTCTGTTGAACCGCTTTTTAAGTATTTGGGGAGTTTATCTTGCCATGCTCCCCCTCCTGGTTCTCAGCACCCACCTGTTCCTCTGCAGTTAATTCTGTGTTTTGTGACTTTAAGAGAGGAGGGGGGAGGGTTCTCAGATTTTGTTGTTTTTGTTTTTTTTCTCTTTAGCAGTAGGACTTGATATTTTCAATTTTGGAAGAACTAAAAGATAAATAAACTGGGGTTTTTTGTTGTTGTTTTGTTTTTATAAATTCAACGTCTGTGATTGTTTTTTTCAGTTCTAAAAGCCAGCCTGCTCGCCTGGTAAAGTGCTGAGGCGTTAAAAAATAATGACTGTACCAAACAGAGTGAAAACAAGTTAGTATCACAACAACAAACTTTCATATTCTAAGCTTTTATGATCATATTAAGAGATACTAGCTAGACATTACAGTAAACCAAATTTATGGATTAGCAAGTTACTTTATCAGAGACTTTTTTACTATGGTTCCCTCACAGAGATCAGAATGGAATAGCACTTGTTCTATCCGAAAACAAATCTTCGATCATCTCCTTGTAAATAGCATGGAAGGCAGCAACAGCTTGAAGGGACACCTTCAGACTTCCTATCGGGGTAGCCTGGTCTGTAGGGCTAACAACTGTTGGGAAAGGAAAAAGAAACGTCAGGCAGGCAGCGGCAGCATTCCATTAAAAAACACAGTGCCAGGGATTCTACATTCCTTCCTTCCGGAGGGGACTGAGTCAAATGGAAGACAAAGAACAGTTACAGGATGGCAAGTGCCGTGATGAAAACACGGTGTTTTGGGAAAACAGAAGTGTCACCTAATCAGGATGGAGAAATTGGAAAAGGCTTTCTGAAGACAATCCCTAAACTGAGCCTTTAAAAAGGTAAAAGATACCTAAGCTAATGTCAAAATATGAGAACATCACAAGTTTAGGAAATTGCAAGGAGTGGCAGAAATTAAAGCTATGCAGATAAGTGGGGGCCAGATTATAAAAGGTCTTATTTGCCTTTCAAGGAATTTGGTTTTCACTGAAGTTACTAGTGACAGTTTTTATTTGGGTTCTAGAAAAATGAATCCATTATTGGGCAATATATTCAAAGGGGATACAAATACATCAGGGAGGGTAGTTGGGCTTTTACACTAATTCGGGGGAGAAATGCAAGGGTCTGAAGTACAGCAATGAGGGTATGAAGGTGGGGACATTCTGAATTAAAGAGGTAAAGTAGAATTTTGTGATTGAATGTTGGGAGTGAGAAGAAGGTTGAAATCAAAGATGACCTTATTTGGGTAAGGGAACATAAGGTGCACGTTTGTAGTGGGGGTGGGGGTGGGGACATGCTAAGGGCATACAAGTAGTTACTTAGTTTGCTGTAAGCTAAATTGTATTAAAAATCTGGTCTAGAAACCTAGATCTGAGATCATTTCTAGGTTATAATTAAAATCCTGAGAATGGATGCAAACATGTAGGAAAAGGGTATATGGAGAATAAAAGGCCAAGAATTGAACCAGGGCAACCCACCATTCAAACTCAGGATGAAGAACCTGCAGGATAAACAAGGATCCCTTAGGCCAGTGGTTCTCAACCTTCCTAATGCTGCGACCCTTTATTATGGTTTAAATTAACCATGAAATTACTTTTGTTGCTATTTCATAACTAATTTTGCTACTGTTGTGAATCATAATTAAATATTTGTTTTCCAATGGTTGTGACCCACAGGTTGAGAATTGCTGCTGTAGAGCAGTACTGTGCAATGTACTCTGATAGCTTCTTTTCTGCAGTTCTCTGGTGTGTGTTTTTTCTTCAAAATGTGACAATAATTTAATCTCACCATCCACTAATGGGTTATGACAGGAAATTCAAAAACCATTAGTCTAGTGAATAGTAAATGCCCACTACAGCCTAGCAGCTAAGGTAAATGTGTGAAGTCCCAGCTGTATTTCAGAACAGGGAACAGAGAACCGGACAGAGCAGGCCCACCTACAGGCATTCAAATGCAAATATTGTTAAAACATGTTGGCCTTATAACAAGTGTATGGAAACACTGTAGTAGATGGATATGGGTTGAAGAAACCAGTGCCAGAGAGATCAATTCAGAAAACTAGTATAGCAGTTGGAATGTAGTCAGGACACTTTGCAAGTAGAATGGATAAGACTTGGTTACCAATATTGTGAGAGGTGAGGGAGTAGAAAGTTGGTGTCTAAGAAATGGGGTGCATGATAAGGCATTAAAAGAGAAGGGGTATGAGCTGCCTTTACAAACTGCTCAAGAGGGGACAGAAATTCTGGCATTTAAATTTGATTGAAATTAAAAAAACAACAAAAAAACTTGTCTTTTCAAACTTTTCCTATCTCAAACATTGGAGAATCATAGTAGGTTCTAGTAATCAAGAGGTATATGAACTAAAATTGACAAGTAGAAAGGTTAAAAAAAATTTTTTTAATAAAATCGACAATTGACTACCCTCAGGTTTGATCTAGAAGTAAGTAGAGGTATAGGGATTTCCACCCAATTTGTCTCAAACTTTGTAGCAGTAATTATGCATTGAAGGTAAAACAGGAAAAGTATTATGATGACTTGCTTAAAAATAAATGGAACTGAGAAGCACAAAACATGTATTACTCACTGTCTAGCTTTTGCTCTACAATGTCTCTTCCTGATTCCATGATCTGGCGTAGTTTCAGATAGGCATATCCTACTTCTTGACATTCATTCTCTTCATCCATAGGATCACTTACCACTGTGAACTTTAAACTAAGGGAGGGAAATTACAATTAATTCAGCACTGCTGATAATCTAAGCCTTAAAAAAAAAAAAAAAGGATAAAAATAATCATAAATTAGACAATGTCTAATTGCAACAGCAAAAGAGTAAGGAATTGGTGTAATTTAAAATAACAACCGGTCCTGGTCAGCTTGCTCAGTTGATTGGAGCATCATCCTGTACACCAAAAGGTTGCAGTTTAATTCTCGGCTTAGGTTGCAGCTTTAATCTCCCATTCAGTTGGTAATTGATCAGTTTCTGGCACCGTGTGTGTGTGTGTGTGTGTGTGTGTGTGTGTGTGTGTGTGTGTGAGAGAGAGAGAGAGAGAGAGAGAGAGAGAGAGAGAGAGTTCTTTCCCTCTAAAAAATATCATCAAAAACATATCTGCAGTGAGGATGTTAAAAAGTATATTTAAAAAGTCTTAATGCCGAAAGCGGTTTGGCTCAGATAGGACGTCGGCCTGCGAACTGAAAGGTCCCAGGTTCGATTTTGGTCAAGGCATGTATGTACCTTGGTTGTGGGCACATCCCCAGTAGGGGGTGTGCAAGAGACAGCTGATCGATGATTCTCTCTCATCGATGTTTCTAACTCTCTATCCCTCTCTCTTCCTCTTTGTAAAATATCAATAAAATATATATATATATATATATATATATATATATATATATATATATATATATATATATATATATTTTTTTTTTTTTTTTTTAAGTTTTAACAACCAGCGTTGAAAGGGAACTGTAAGACTCAAGATAATGTAATTGAGCAGGTTGTCTCAAAACCGTTGAGATATATTTAGATATATCCTTGTTGATTTCAGAGAGGAAGGGAGAAGAATATAGAGAGATCAGTGATGAGAGAGAATCATTGATCGGCTGCCTCCTGCACACCCTCCACGAAGGATTGAGTCTGCAGCCCAGGCATGTGCCCTCTACCGGAACTGAACCCATAACTTCAGTCCGAAGGCCAACACTATCCACTTAGCCAAACCAGATAGAGCTGGTTTATAATTTTGAAAGATTTGATAAGGTCAGTGGATGAGTTGCACAAAAACCAATAAACAGGAGAAGTTAGAAAAAAGTTTTCAATTTCTAAATGAAAGTTGGGTACCAAGACTGAGCATAGTAAAGGAAACAAGAAAATTCTGTATTTCTTGAATTCCAGAGACTGGTACCTACTAATTTTTTTTTTTAGAAAAATTCAAGTATCATAAATTCATTATTTTAATCATTTGAAGTGTGCAATTCAGTATTTCTTAGTATCATCACAATCTTGTGCAACCATCACCGCTATCTAATTCCAGGTCACGTTCATCGCCTCCAAAACTCCTGTACCCATTAAGCAGTCATTCTCTATTGCCCTCTCCCTCAGCTCATGGCAACTACTAATCTACTTCCTGTCTTTCAATTTGCCTATTCTGGACACTTCATAATCCTATACTTGTTTTTAATGTGTTTATTGATTTTAGAGAAACAGGAAGGGAGGAGAGAGGGAAAGAGAAACATTGATCCCACCAGGGATCAAACTTGAAATCTGGGTATGTGCCCTGGTCTAAATTGAACCAATGACCTTTCTGTGCATGGAACAACACTCAACCCAACTGAATAACACTGGCCAGGGTATAATTCTATATATTTTTTAAAGCAAACATTGGCCCAGCCAACATGGTTCAGTGGTTGAGCATTGACCCATGAGCCAGGAGATTATGGTTCGATTCCCAGTCAGGACACATGCCCTGGTTTCAAGCTCAGACCCAAGTGTGAGGCATACAGGAGGTAGCTGATCAATGGTTCTCATCTTTGATGTTTCTCTCTCTTCCTCTCTGAAATCGATAAAAATATGGGCTTTTCAAAGCAAACATTGATGGCTAATAGTACTAAGGGAACAAGAATAGGACTAAGCCGAAACTGGTTTGGCTCAATGGATAGAGCGTCAGCTTGGGGACTGAAGGGTCCCGGGTTCGATTCCGGTCAGGGGCATGTACCTTGGTTGGGGGCACATCCCCAGTGGGGGGGATGCAAGAGGCGGCTGATGACTCTCTCTCATCGATGTTTCTGACTCTCTAGCTCTCTCCCTTCCTCTCTGTACAAAATCAATAAAATATATATTTTTTTTAAATAGGACTAAAAATTTAAACTCTTAAAATTGCAGCTAAAGATAACTAAGCTGAAAGAAGAATTCTGAAATGATACATTTCTAACTCAGTAAGCAATACTCACTTGTGGTTATGTTTCTGTATGGTTATTGAGAACTTAAAACTGCAAAGGGTTAATACCAACTCCCTCATCCCAATTTTCCCAGGAAAGGGATAGTAGCTATCATTACTGCATGCTAGACACAATACCAAGTGCTTTAGGCAAACAATGTTATTTCAATTTTATGCTCACAGTAGCCTTCAAACTAAGTAATAACTTAAGAGATCATTATAAGTGGAAGATCAGGATTCAAAACCAAGTCTGTCTGATTACAAAGAGAATGTTCTGTTTATTGTACCATATTGGCAAAAGGAAGTCAAAATAAAATAAACTGAACTCTAAAATTGAGTAGAAAGTTGCAAAAAGGAAAGAAAAGTGTTAGCAGTATCTTCTTACCTAATAGACAAACATGTAAATTGACCATATCTCCACTACACCCACCAGCCAATCAGGAGTGATATACAAATTAACCCAACAAAAATGGCAGCTAATTTGCATATGCAGGAGTTGAACTACTGGGGTGGGCAGAACACTTGCATTGCAGGCATTCTGCCCACCCCAGTCGCTCAACTACTGGGCAGCAGGGAAGGCGAGCCGGAGTGGAAAGAGGTGGCTCCAGGGCCAGAAAGAGGCTGCTCCAGGGCTGGGCCTGAGTGGAAAAGTGATGCCAGCAGCCAGTGAAAGGAGGGCCCATTCTAGCACGAATCTTCATGCCTCGGGCCTCTGGTAAGGAAATAAAGGAAAAGAGAGCTCTGGGGTTGCTGAGAGAAAGAAAAGAAAAAGCTAAATTTAACATGAATCCAGAAACAACCAAATTACTTTTCACTCCCAAAAGTTAACAGTAAGCTTTTTATCTATTTTAAAAGTCCATTGTGATTCTGATGTCAGATTCACTCTTTATTTCAGCTGTCTCCTTTCTCTATGACTAACTGGAGACAAAGTAAAAGCAAATTAAATAAATGTATTGGGCTTTTAGATAAGTAATAAAACACTGGCCCCCTATCTTATTTCTTACCCACATATACATTAAGGAATTAATTTATTACATATACATTACCCACATATACATTAAGGAATTAATTTATTTCTTACCCACATATACATTAAGGAATTAAGGTTGGCAGATATTGCACAAGAAAAAAAAATAAAAGAAGCCCCAAACATATGGTTGCTTAAATTTGAATTTCAAATTTCCGCTAAACAATAAATAATTTTTTAAGTATAGGTATATCCTTTATGTTTCATCTGGAATCTCTAAAAGGCCTCCTCAGATGACAGGAATAATGACAATTGGCTTTCCTCAAACTTATAGTAGATCTAGAATTTCTTCAGTTATATCAAAGTATTTCCTGCAAAGAAATAATATTTAAAATTGAACAAAATTAATTTTAGAAAGCCATAATATTTGGTAAGCTAGTGATGGTACTGTGTTTATGAGAAATGAATAAAATTATCTCAAAATATTGCAGCATTTGTCCATTCCATTTAGGGTACTGTCAGTATTAAGTAAATTGATGCCTCAAACACACACACACACACACACACACACACACACACACACACGAGCTGGTATGAAATGAGAAATGAACTAAATCTATGAGATTATATATTTTATCAGATAGTTAGCCATGAACATAAATGAGGCTCAAGTAGATGAGAAATTCATTAAGGGTAAATCAATGTAAAAGAAGTAAACATATTCAATATCAGCACAAAACCAAACTAAAACTCTTCAATTCTTGGGTGAATATCTCTTTTCTTTCAAAGTGGAGAGTAAATGCTTACCATCCTTGCTCAGGACCTTGACCATTCAGCAAGTCGAACAGAAATTGCCTTCGGCCTTTTTGCTCCAGGCGGTCCAGGTCTATGACTATATTAAGATAAGAAGAGGGAAAAGGACAGAGAATCATTCACTTTTGCTATTTGGGCACTAAGATTTTCATAAGTGGTACATATAAAACAGAGGTTGGAAAAATAGGGCCCAGGGGCTAGCCACCCGGTTTTGTAAAGGTTTATTGAACCCAGCCATGCCTATTATTTATTATTTATTTTAAACACTTTTTATTTATTTTTAAAGAGAAAGGAAGAAAGAGAGATAGAGACATCGTTGAGAAACATCTTCAGTCTGCTGCCTCCTGCACGCCCCCTTCTGGGGATTGAGCCTGCAACCTGACCTGGAATCAACCAGCAAGTCTTGGTTCATGGGTCTCCGCTCAACTGCTGAGCTATACTGGCTGGGCCACACCTATTATTTACATACTACTGACCTGGTGTGCACAAATTCATGCACATTGAAAGGAAATTAATTAGAAGGTGGCCAATAGGGCGGGAATGGGTGAAACGGGCTGGGCAGGCCCTGGAGCCAACCTCCGTCGGCCCCTCCCCTACCGGCCACACCTGGGGTGACACTGTGGCTCGAGGGCATCTGCGGAGTGAGCAGGGTCCCTCCTGTAGGTGGGACCCCTCGGCCTGGCCTGTAGGGATCATTCCTAAACCGGCAGTCGGACATCCCTCTCGCAATCTAGGACCACTGGCTCCTAATCGCTCTCCTGCCTGCCTGCTTGACTGTCCCTAACTGCTCCCCCCTGCCAGCCTGATTGCCCTCTAAGTGCTTTCCCCTGCTGGCCTGATCGCCCCTAACCACTTCTGCCTCGCCCCCTGCCACCATGGCTTTGTCCGGAAGGATGTCTGGTCTAATTAGCATATTGCCCTTTTATTAGTATAGATGTTACAGTGTCCAATAAACTGACCTATCTTTTCCAACCTCTACTTTAGCTAGGTTTGGCCACATGATTAAGTGCTAGCCATTACGTTCTATGAAATCTGTGTAACAGGCTCAGGAGGAGGCATTCTTCCTTTCCCCTGCGGCCAGTGAGGACCCTGGTATAACTGAGCAACTAAAAGGATGCAAGACAGACACTTGGGTGGTGGGAAGGCAAGATAGAAGTTTGGACCTTATGATACATCTAAGGGGGGAAGTGAACATGCGTATGGTGTGAAAGAAATGTTATGTTCTAAGATAGATAATCTCTAAGCAGACAATCTCTAAAGTTGGTGAATTGGTAAATTGCAATAAAACATTACTCAGAAATATGGAGTCAAATAACAGAAGAAATAACAGAAAAAAGGAAAAAAACTGGTACAGCAGACTGAGGGATGACAGAAGGGGCATGGGAGTGATTTTTGGAGAAGGGGTGGGGCAAAGGGCTGTTTACTTTTACTTCAAAACCTTTTTTAAGGCTACCTGATATTTTCAAACCACATGCACACACTATGTTGATAAGTAAAAGAAAAAGGGTTGGATCCACCCCATCAGAAGTCCAGAGTAGTTCTGGCCCCGCAGTCCGTCGGCCCGCTCTCCCCGCTGGCCGCGGGGCTGCCTCACCCTTGCTAAAGTGGAAGTGGATCTCTTCTCCTGCCCTCGGTTTCCTCAGGGACACCGGCGTTTCCGTCTCTGACAGGGGCAGATCATAGAACTTGTACTCCACATACACCTGTTTTATGTTCTCATCAGACATCACTTCGGCCTCTGAGTGGAAGGCCAGGCTGACAATTTCAATGCACATCTTCTCTGAATCCTGGTAAGAAAAAGACATTTATTTTCTATAGGTTAGGGATGCTCCAAGTACATACTTCACTTAATTAACACATTACTGTCAGTCACAGGCTTACTCCGTCTTGCGTATTATTCCTTGAGAATCAATTTGTATGTAATATTGGCACTGAGACCACGTGACTGAATTGTCCCCGCTAATGTGGGGGAAATGGGTAGTGAGAATCCAGTCGTTTTGTCTCCTGGTCCAGTGAATGCTGTCCTCAGACCAGCCTTCCTCAGCCATCTCCACATGTAGAAAGAATCAAGAAACTTTCTGAGCAGATAGCTTTTCTTCAACTTTCTGGATGAAAACCAATCCAGCGTTTTCCTGAGATTAGCTCCTAGGAGACCTGCTGACTGATTTGAGCTGTTGCAGGCATTATAGCAAGGAGCTACCTACTGGGCTTTTTGTTGTTGTAGTGCTGGCTTGGACTGCCCCTCCCCCCTTACGATTACAGTCCCGGATGATGGATGCAGCTCACAGCTGAAAAGCATTGCATTAGAGTTAAGGCCCATAACACCATAGCCATTCGCCACACGTGACATAATCTGAATTGGGATTTTCCATCAGTATAAAATCACATGGGACTTTGAAGACTTTGCAATAAAAAAAATGAATGTAAGATATCTCAATAGTTTTTTCTATTGGTTTCGTGTTGAAATAATGATACTTCTGCTACTTACTAGTAGGTTAAATAAAATATATTTTTAAATTTATCTTTTCAAAAATTTTACTTGTTTCTTTTTACACTTTTAATGTGGCCACTAAAAAAAAATTTAATTACACTTGTAGCTCACATTATAATTCTGTTGGAGAGCACTTCGTAGACTGTAAGCTCCACGAGTTCCAGGACCACAAGTGTGTTTCACTAACCTCTTTAGTCCCAGCATTTAGCATGCCCCTAATTTGTTAACTCTCTGTGCACCTAGGCCTAAGTAATTTTCAAAATTAGTTTTGGCTCCTTCCCTTACAAGCACTCTTATTTCATTAAAGTTAGGAACTAAGAATGGTGGGGGAATACAGCTGGTAACACTGTGAGAAAGAGCCACTGTAGTGTGAGAGTACAAATTGGTATGATTGGAGGGTTGATAATTTTGTGTTATTTGTGAAATTTTTAAGTGCACAATTCCTTTTAAAACCAGCAATTCCACTCTAGGAATCTGTCTCACAATTCGGCAAATACACAGAGATACATATGAATAAGGCTGTTACTGCGGCATTATTCTGCCCTACAACCTTCCTCTTTCATGTAGGTAGCTGGTGGCACAGAAATGAAAGTGACAAGGTCCTGGTACATTTGCTCAGTTTACAGATCAGAAGGCAAATTCTTTAGAAGCCACTTATGGTCATTTGTTCCTCTGTTCCTCTCCAGGCTCATTTGCAAAGCCTGGCTTCAGTTCAAATGCCTCCTCCTCAAAGCAGTGTTTTATTTATTTATTTTTAAAATATATTTTATTGATTTTTTACAGAGAGGAAGGGAGGGGGTGTAGAAACATCGATGAGAGAGAAACATCTATCAGCTGCCTCCTGGACACCCCCTACAAGGGATGTACCCGCAACCAAGGTACATGCCCTTGACCAGAATCGAACCTGGGACCCTTCAGTCAGCAAGCTGATGCTCTATCCACTGAGCCAAACCAGTTTTGGCCTCAAAGCAGTTTTTCCTCACTGTGGCCTTACCTAACTCAACCCCTCTCATTGCTATCTATTATTGTCACCTTATTTGTTTTCTTTTTTTTCTTTTTTTTTTTAATCAATCTTTATTGTTCATATTGTTACAAAGGTTCCTCATTTCTTCCCCCCTCCACCAGGTTCCCACCCCACCCTCCGCCCCCTCCCCATCCCCCATTGTCCTCATCCATAGGTGCAGTTTATGTTCAGTCTCTTCCTCCCTCCCTTTCCCCGATAGTAAATCCCTTTTCAGATAGTAAATCAGTTACTTAGCATTTTCTCATATCAATAATACCACCATATGCCCAATGATACATTTCACACAAAAGAGATTTCCAAGTAGGTCAACCAGCCTCATCCAGGTCCCACACAAGGCACTCACAGATCAACACAGATCAACACCCCAGCCCTATACTAACTCAACACATCCAGATCTAAGCCTTCATCACTTGATTCAGCAGACCCTCAAGTTCCCACAAAAGTTTCCAGCCATGTCTGAGAGGCAGCCGAGGGGCAGGGGCAGGCGAGGAGCGAGCTGTTCCGGGCCTGGCTGCTCCAGGCCTGGCCTCTGTTGCTCTGGTTCGTTCCACAACCAGCTGCTCCGGGAATGGTCACCGCCGCTCCCGACCTAGTTGCTCTGGACCTGGCTTCTGCTGCTCCAGGCCTGGCCGCACCCAACCCGGCTGCTCTGGGCCCGGCTGCTCCGGGCCTGGCCGCTCCCAGCCTGGCAGCCGCTGCTCCGGGCCTGGCCGCTCCCAGCCTGGCAGCCGCTGCTCCGGGCCTGGCCGCTCCCAGCCTGGCAGCCGCTGCTCCGGGCCTGGCCGCTCCCAGCCTGGCAGCCGCTGCTCCGGGCCTGGCCGCACCAGACCTGGCTGCTTTGGGCCCAGCTGTCCCGGGCCCGGCCGCTCCGAGTCTGGCCGCTCCCAGCCTGGATGCTCCAGGCTTGGCTACTGCTGTTCTGGGCCTGGCTGCTCCCAACCCGGCTGCTCTGGGTCCGGCTTCTCCCGGCCCGGCCACTCCGGGTCTGGGTATTCCTGGACTGGCCACCCTGGGCTTGGCTGCCTCCGCCTCAGGCCTGGCTACCACTGCCCCAGGTCTGGCTGCTCCAGTGCTGGCTGTTGTTGCTCTGGTTCTGGCTGCTGCTGCTCTGGGGCCTGGCCGTTGCTGCTCCGGGCCCGGCTGCCATTTCTTTGTGCCTGGGCACTCTAGGCCTGGCCGCCGCTGTTCCAACATTCTGCCTTTTTTTTTTTTTCTTTTTAAAAAAAAAAACACGCATTTATGTTGCAATGTTGGCTGGTGAGTTGAGTTCTGACTTAGTCTTTGATTTTTCAAGATCTTCTTTGTATTCTTTCTTAAGTAATTTTACTATCTTTTGCTCTCACTTGATTTCTTCACATTGAGAACTTTGGTTTCTTCCTCCTTGTCCTGGGAGCTCAGCAGGTTGGCCTTTGGCACCCCTTTGTTCTCCGCGGGCTCCTGCGCTGCTTCAGCCTGTTGCCGGGGTCAGCGCCGCCCAGGAAGCAGCCCCCGGCCTTGGCTCTGTTGCCCGCGCTCAGTGGTCAAAGGCTCAGAGGCACCCCCTCCCCCCCCCCCCCCCGGGGGCCCCTTCGCCCGGCTCCCTGCCAGCGCCCGGCTGGCTGGTGTCTGGCAGGGGCTCCTGCTCCCTGTCGCATTCCTCCAGTCTGGAGCTTTTTTTTTCCTCCTTCCCGCTAGGGGAGTCTAGGATCAGAGTCAACAGACTGTCCTCTGCGCGCAGTGCGCGCGACTCTGGGGGCTCTGCTTTCTGCCACTCCCCTGGGATTCCGCCTCACAGCCCCGTCTCCCCCTGCCGGAGCCTGGGTCCCCAGGGTCTGGTCCAGGACTGAGGCTCGGTGCCGCCGGAGGCCCTGTTCCTTCCAGCTAGGGTAATCCAGCATCAGAGTCAACATTCTGTCCTCTGCGCACTTGTGCGCGCGACTCCGGGGGCCCTGCTTTTCGCTGCTCACTTGGGATTCCGCCTCACAGCCCCATCTCCCCCTGCCGGAGCCTGGGTCCCCAGGGTCTGGCCCATAACTGGGGCTCAGCGCTGCCGGATCTGGGGTTCAGCCCAGGCTGGGGGTTCTATTTCCTTCCCGCTAGGGAACGCCAGGCAGCACCCAGCCCTCTCCTCCTCTCCGGCTGCAACCTCTCCACTGAGTGCGGGCGCGCAGCATGTCTCCGTACCTTAGGCTTTTTTCAGCTCCTCTGATTTTCCTTCTGGTTTTCTCTTTCCTTCTTGTTGTAGAATTTTCAGTCAATTGACTACCTGTAGCTCTGGGCGATGTCCACTCTACATTTTAGTTGTATTCCATTGAAATTGTTGTGTGCTGCGGTTAGGTGTCTACCCGAGCAGCCATCTTGGATCCTCTTCCTCTATTTGTTTTCTTTTAAAAAAAATATGTACATGGCCGAAATCGGTTTGGCTCAGTGGATAGAGCATCGGCCTGTGGACTGAAAGGCCCCAGGTTCGATTCCTGTCAAGGGCATATACCTTGGTTGCCGGCACATCCCCAGTAGGGGGTATGCAAGAGGCAACTGATCGATGATTCTCTCTCATCGATGTTCCTAACTCTCTATCCCTCTCTCTTCCTTTCTCTGAAAATTCAATAAAATATATTTTAAAAAAATATGTACATGTTTGAAAATACATTTTTATTGACTTTAGAGATGAAGGGACAGGGAGAGATAGAAACATCAACGATGAGCGAGAATCACCGATCAGCTGCCTCCTGCATGCCCCACAGTAGGATTGAGCCCAAAACCCACGCATGTACCCATCCAGGAATTGAACCTTGATCTCTGGGTTCATAGGTCAACATTGAACCACTGAGCCATGCCAGTAGGGCCTATTTATTTTCTTCATAGTATTTAGAATCAGCAAATATCTGGCTTATTTGTTCACTGATTTATACTTGTTTTCTCTCAGTAGAAGGTAAGATTCAAGAGGGAAGGGACCAGCCCTAACCGGTTTGGCACAGTGGATAGAGAGCATTGGCCTGCAGTCTGAAGGGTCCCAGGTTTGATTCCAGTCAGGGGCCATGTGCCTTGGTTGAGAGCTCATCCCCAATGGGAGGTGTGCAGGAGGCAGCTGATTGATATTTCTAACTCTCTATCCCTCTTTCTTCTGTAAAAAGTCAATAAAATATATTTTTTAATTTATTTTTTTTTAATAAAACATATTTTTTAAAAAGGGACCAGCCTTGGCTAGTGTGGCTCAGTTGATTGAAGTGTTGTCCAGTACTACACTAGAAGGGGCGGACTAAATTCCCAGTCAGGGCACATAGCCAGGTTGC